TAAGTTTTACTTCAGCCTCCGCATCGTGGAGGTTTGACAGGGAGCTGAATATGTTTTTTCTTTCTTTCTTTTTTTTCTTCTTTTGTTGTACTCCCACCCGCTTGAGAGTGGTTGTTTGGGCAAGGTGCAAGGCGTTGTGGGAATGTAGAGCCCCGGCTGCACTTTGCAGATACACAAGCCTGCGCTTTTATGCCCAGACCCATCAAAATGGCCGAGTCAGGCTGCTATCTCCTGGGACTTGCTGCTGCAGTACAGGGGGATTGAAGCTTTTCATGAAACATTTTCACAGCCAAAGGTGTGCAGAATAGCAGCCTGTGCGCCATTTTCCACAACAAAGGTGGACTTAACTTCACTGGATGGTTAAAGCTGTAACCGTGCAGAATTTAATTCTGCATCCAATTTGGGAAACTAATTGGTCTACACAGGGTAGAGGCTTTGTAAGATTTTACATAACTCAAATGGGGAATTTAAAAAAAGTTAAATTTTAAAAGACAAATTATCATTTTCTGGAACATTATACAAAATGTAACTAATCACGCCCAAATGGTGTGGTAAGCTGAGCCAGGCTGTTGTTTATTTGGATCTCAGGTTAAAGCAGGAGCTGTGTGTCTTGCAGAAATCTGGGTGTTCATTAAATCATTTGATGTAAAATATTGTAAATTAAGCAGTTCTTACATAATTAAAACAGTTTTTTTACACTTTTATACTTTATATTTTTCTTAGTAGTAATACAGTGATGAAAAACAGGGATTCATTTGTACAAAAGCTCCAAACGCATCATCAAATTTAGCTTGGACTCCGTGACAATTAACAATCCCTTAGGCGCATGTGTGATAAATTGCTTGTAGGAGAAGGCCATTTGTTACAGCCTTATCTTTGAGACTGCTGTTTAGAAGACTGAATTATCCATTATCAGACCGTGCTGAAGATGAGTGGAGACCAAACACAGATTACGGCTTGAGATTTGTCCTATCTTTTACTAGGGTACATTTGCATGAAGCATACCCCAGGACATGTTTGGGTGTCCAATCACAGTGTTTTCTGGCAGATCCCAGACACCTACAGAAAAGCATTTCGCCCAAGAGCAAGAAATACTGTAGAGTCTTTTAAAACCGTGAAAAAAGAGATTATGTGATTGGTTATTATAAATTATGTTAGCTACAGTATTCCATGATGCTGCTGACATTTTTGTACAAAATATATGTAAAGCTATTCTTTTTATAAATGTAAGCTTTTACTCAGTTCAATCAACATGTCCACAACTGACTTGCCAAAACTACAAATGTTATTTCAAGGCTCTTACCTTTCCCGTGGGGAGTAATAAGGACTACTATTTCTGCAGCACTGTAAATGCTGCCCATGCTACTGATGCGTGAAATAACTGCGTGGACGTTCTGCCATCCAGTGGCTAACTCTGTGAACTCCTCATCGTGCTTTCTGGAACTAAAGTGTTTGTTCCTACCCGGACGTCAACGGTTGTTGCACCGTGAATGCATTTTCGTTACGTTCCCGTTTTGTAAGTGTCACTATTTTGTCTTTTATATTATAGTAAAGGTTACGTTTAAGCGTATCAGCACACGTAGCAAGGGTGAGACGTTTTATTTCGCGTGAGGTCAAAATTTCACGATGTTACAGACAGTTTGCTGCTTTCAAGTTGAAGCTCTAGCCTGTTAGCTTTAGCTTCCCCGGAGAAGCTAACCTGCGAATTGAGTTCATTTATTCCAATAAAAATGTAAACCATGAATGTAATTTATTTACTGAAATAGCGACATTGCGTTTGCATAAACATGACCCGCAGTCCTAGCTTAGGCATCATAAACCGAATACAAGTGAGAGCTTGTTTAGCCTTATAAAAGGCGAGAGCTGTAATTGACCTTATGTGGTTGTAATAACTTTGTTTGTATATTTCCACCTCGTTATCCAGCCAATGGATTGACATCAGCCATCAGAGATGCTGCTGAAAGATCTGCCCAGGGAGGCCCTGATGCGGCCGTTGTCTAGGAATGAAGTGGTTGGCATGTTGTTCAGGTTGACCGTCTTTGGTGCCGCCACGTACTACAGCATCAAATGGGTCTTAGATGCAATGGATCCTACCTCCAAACAGAAAAACCAAGCCAAGAAGAGGGTATGTCAAGCATCAGCACACATTATAAACACGCAATCTGTAAAATACCGTAAGCTCAAGGTTGATGCTGTTATTGAACAGTGTTAAAGAAATGCTGCCAAGGTCAGGCGTTTTTCCTGGCTTATAATGCAGCAAGCACTATCTGTTCTTGTACATTCAAAGCATGATGTAAAGATGCTTTGAGATAAAAAAAA